TTATTTTTAAACTCTTCCTGTTGCAGCCAGATGCAGGTTGCCCCTTCTTCCCAGATGGGCAGCCCCTTCTGCCCAAGGCATGATGTGCAGGGAAACTGAATCCAACGTGCTCCATTCTCTTCTCTGCTGGGGTGGGAAGTGAAGTCAGAACCCAATGTTCAAAACCTGAAGGACACTAAGGAAGAAGAGAAATAGAGTGACTGGTTAGATGTCAGCTTCAGTGGGAATACTGGATGCACAGATAAGGAGTTAACTACTACCAATCAGCCCCTACGGAACACACAGAGACCAGGAAGAGACCTCGATCAATGAAGAGACAAGTGGAGGATGCAACTGCTCAGCTCCAAGCTTCAGAGTAGGACTGAGACAGAAAGACAAAACAGAATCACAAAGGGCCAAAGTAAGCACTTTTCCTGTAAGCTGACAGCACCAAAGCAGCTCTGCAAGATAAGGAAGTTTAAAGAAGGACTTGGCTAACACCACAGGCATTGCAGGAAAGCAGCAAGGAAAATTACTCTTCACCTTAAACAACCACAAATCAATCGGTAGGGAAAAGAATGAAAAAAAAAAGATTTTTAGAGATCACACACTAAAACTGTTTATGCTCACCCACTGAAAGAAATCCTCTGTCTACCTCCAAATAATTAAACATTTTTAGATATCTCAATCCCCCAGAAGTCTGAAGATCCTTCTCAGGTCTTCTGCCTCACCTCAATAAAGCTGTCACAACTCGTTCAAACAAGCCTTGGAGTATGTCTAAGCAGACTTAAGACATGACATAAAACCTCCACTGTAGGTCTGTGATCCACTTTGGAAGATAGAATAGTAAGAATAAATGTAGGACAACCTATCAGTTGCATTCAGTATGAGAGTGAGTATGAAATAAACTTATGAAAAGAGAAAGCAATTACAAGAGGGAATCAGCCCTAAACAAGAAATGACACTAACTTAAAACAGAAGCCAGAGCAACAGGCTACTTTGGGAAACTGCAAGTTGCTGAGGGTTTTATTTATTTATTAATGTTCTGGTAGACAAAAAAAAAAAACCTCCAGTGTTTGGACCAGAGGGAATTAGAGCACAGCAAGAAAAATCATGAGTCCACACCAAGCTGGGCAAGGGATAAAGAGTTCTCCAGGCGCTGAAGCTATGGGAAGTCTAACTGAACTGAAGATACTAAACTAATACCAACCAGAAGAGTGCATGGATTTTGCATTCAATGAGGCACAAACTGTACCACTGCACAAAAAAGAAAACTCTATTCCCAAGTATTCTTCCTACTGCCTTGCAGAAACACAGAGAATAACAGAGGTGGATGAGCAAGCCAAAAGCTCCTGAGCTGCTCAGAGAGAGCTGGGTGGTCACTCACACTTCTCATGGCTGGAATGGAAGGCGCTTGCATTAAGTGCAGAAAGCAAGAGTGGTTGCCACTGACTGAGCACCTGCAAGCCATGGTCAAATTCCAGCTGCTGCTACTCTTTTCTTTTCCCATGACCTTGCTCACTAAGGCTCCCTTAAGTCACTCTGGCTTGCACATCTAGTGCCTTAACCAGCAAATGACAGGTTTACAGTTAAGTAAGCCATGACTACTAGACAACAGAAATTAGAGAATTCATATTTTCCCAGTCAAGTAAAGTGTTCCCATGCTGACTTTCTCCCTCTGTGGCTAATAGTTAGGTTTGTGGATGTTGCATCGCTGCTGGGCAGAAGCAAAGTTTCAATGTTTGATCTCTAATCTCCAAGTAAAGAGAAACAGAGTTCAAACAGATTCCTGGGGAAGCTGTGGACAACCTCTTTAACATTTAACTTGCAAGAAGGGGATAAAGTCATAGGAGCTTTGAGCACCATGGGTAACACCCACTCAATCCTGTCTTCCCAAGTGCTGCAGAGAGACTTAAGTGCTTATTCCTAAAGATCTTCTCTTGTTTACAAAGAGAAATATTTCCCCAGTTCACTTACTTTCTGGCTGTTCACCTCAGAGTTGATGAACACTTTTTGCTCAGCATTATACCCGTAACTGACCCAGAAGGCTGTAAATTAAGCCCACAGGAACTTCTCAGTACAACTTCAGGTTAGTGATCACTTAAGAGTATCTTTTGCCAATGTGAATTTAACGTGTAAGACACTTACTCATAGAGAGGATCTGAAAAGAAGAAAGCTCAACCCACCCAAGCAGTGGCAGCCGTGCTTTCCCTGAACAATGATTTCCAAGCAGGGACCCTCGGAACTCACTACAGTAAGGGAGAAATGACACAGTCTGGACTTCCTCACGGACACTGACGTCTGCAGCTTCGGTTTGGAACTTGTAAACTTGAGCAAACATTCTGCCTTCTTTTCCCAGGAGCACTCCTATTTCTCTGCACACACACCCTGTTCCCCCTTTGTTAGAAACCTGATCCACCTCTCTCTTGGCAGTGTTTTGCATGATCCTTGCTCTCCTTTGGGGATAAAGCTCCCCTTCATCCCGCTCCACAGATTCCAGCACACAGGCAAAAATGACAAAGCTTTGCAAAGCGCAGAAAAGACACACAATCTAAGGACAGAATAAAAGGCTTGAAGCAAAGCACACTGACAGGGTGTCACCTCTCCTCCCTGCAGCATAGCTGTGCAGAATTGTGCACTGGGAGCCATGCAGGAGCTATGTTTTCTGCCTAAACAATGCTGGGTCAGAGCTTGTTCCACATTTGACTTCTTAGTGAATGCGTGTCCAGTATATTTCCCAGAAAGTACCACTTCAACTTCATGTGTGAAACAAAACAAATCCAGGGGGCTTAACATCAGATAGCTCAGCTCCTCTGTTTTGATTAAGCAATTAACATGCAATAATAACATGCGACAAGAACATAACTGTACTGTTAAGAGTTCATGTTCTCCCTCTTAAGCATTTGATTATATCCACATCTTCATCAGTACTAGACCCTACCCTTTTATAAATAGTCCCTCAGCTTCTCTGCTTTACACTCTTAAAAATATAATCTCTATCTGGTGTTCTGTAGACAGTGGTCTTGTCTACCCAGTTCAGAAGTGCAGGACATATGTTTTGTGAACACTTCTGTAAAAAACATTTCATCCCTGAAAAGGAAATGTATTTCCCAAATATTATGGCTGGCCCCAGCATGGCATAAAAACCAACCAAACAAAAAACCAAACCCTACCAAACAAACAAAACCCACAGCACAGAAGCTCAGAACAATATCCAGTGGAAACCAAAAAACCAAACCCTACCAAATAAACAAAACCCACAGCAAGAAGCTCAGAACAATATCCAGTGGAAATACTGCTCAAAAGGCCACAGCTTCTGTCATTAACTTGCAAACAGTCCTAACACAATAGAAAATGGGTTTTTGTATTTCACCTGAAGTTAGGATATTCAGTTTAAGACAGCCACTCAGTAATTCAGCAAGTGCACAGTTAACAAATGCACAACAGTATAAAAAGCCTCATAACAAAATAGAAAAATAACAAAATAGAAAAGCTTGACTGATCTGATCCTGCTCTCTCTACAGTAAAGAGATCTGCCAGGTGCAGACAGAAGAACCTTACTAATAAATGAAATTTAAGTGGTGGGACGTGACTTGGAGTAAGAGGGAGGTAAAATTTGTTTAATAAGTCAATATATAGTGGTATTTCAACATGTTCACGTGCTTTAAGTAACACTGGCTCACAGGAGAGCATTTCACATTGTCTAGACTCAAGACACTTGTCTAGAATGGCTGTATTGAGGCAGAGCAGACAAATATTTCACTTAATATCTGGTCTCCAGCATGAACAGCAGCAGCAATCACCAGAAAATTGGAATGAAATTGGCCCCCAAAGGTCACCTAGTCTAAACTACCTCCAGGTTACTCAGGTACCTAGGAAGGAGTACTAAGGTCAAGTAAATGATAATTTCAGCCTCGACGATTTTGAAGCTCAAGGGCTTCCCACAACTGAAGCAGTATCTGCAATTTGCCCTTACTTCTGCCTGCTCAGCTGAACAGTATTAGGGCTTGAATTTGCAACACTGACAAATACCATATCTGCCTCCTAAAAAGGAAATATTCCTGGCAAGCCTTCCACTTTCCAACCAATATCCAGCCTATGCTCCAGTCCATCCATTTTCCATTAGCTAACTGAGTTCCCAGTGTGAATTATGCCTTCAGCTCCATTTCTGTAATTCTTCAACTGCCTCAGTGGTTAAAGTGCTTCAGATCAGGGTGTCAGACTCTCAGAAAAGATATTTTTAACTCTTGTTCTCATGTACGCTTATTTGCCAAACTATCTGTGCAAATAGGACAAATTGCTGAAGAGGCAGCTTTGCTGTGCATAGGGCAGCATCAACACATCCTTCTTCCTTCCATCTCCATCCACACTGCACACTCCTGTTTCCCATTCCAATAACGGGTGCATAAGCAATACAGCAGTTAATGCTGAACCAGTTTACCAAAATTTGACACTGTCAGGGCAGAACGTGTGATAACAGCATCCTGCCACACACAGAGCAAAGCAAGCAGTCATGGCACACACATGCTTTGCTACTACACATACTAGAAAATTTTAGCAGGATAATAATAACCTGCATAGAAACACAACATGTGCTTGGCTCTGTTCAACCATTCTGTACATACAAGACCATGTCTTTATTTATGGAATCAACACATGCTCTCATGTCAACTGCAGAGCTGTAGGCACTGCCTGGCAGAGACCTACTGTGATTCAGGCAGCTTTAGTAACAGGAGACAACAGGAGTTTCATGCAGGTTGCTGTTCTACTTCATAAAGGAGCTGACTACCAGGGAAGTTAAACCCACCTAACCTTTACACAACTTTTTCTCCTTCTAAAAGGGAACATGGCTCTTCCTAAAGCTTTTTACTTAAAGAGCACCTGTGCTTCCAAACAGGTAACTTTAACTGCTGCAGAGGTGGGCACAGGAACCATACCAGACAGGGCTGTTTCCACTACAGAGCTGCAACATTTTACACAACTCCACCTACCTTTTTGTGCTCCTGAAGTTAACTTGGTACCCAGGTATGGTTGGAGGCCTGCGAGGTGCTGGGATAGCTGGGAGTAGACAGAATGGGTTCAAAATTAAAGTCCAGTCCTTCTCCATCCATGAGTTCACTGTTGATTATGTAATCCATATCACATTCAAGGTTTTCCATGTACATGTCAATGTCCAGGTCAGTGGGCAGCCTGTCCTGGTTCAACCCCAAGGAAGCAGGGCTAGCAGATGACAGAAGCACTGGACTGCCCAGCTGCACTGACTGGGCAGTTGTTGCAGAGACTGGAGCCTTCAAACTGGTGATGCTGGCAGTGTTTTGTGGAGATGTTACTATGGGAAGTGTTGATGGCAAAACACTGGCACCGACTGGTTCTGCCTGCTGCTCTGCAGGCTTTCCTCGTGGATTGCCTGAGCTCATCTTACTCTGGGCAGCTTGTCCACCTAGGAGCAGAAGAGTTCTGCTGGTCATCCTGTTACCAGTCTGTGGGAGAACTGGATCCACCTGAGTCATCAGAACATCCCTTGGAGGCGGAGAGCTAGGTGTCAGAAGAGCTTCCAAGGTCTGAGGGGCAGAAAAATGGCTGACAGAACTTTGCAGTGAAATATCAACAGGGTTAAACAGGGAATTGCCAAAAGTTTGACCAGCCGCATTTGGGCTCTGCAAGGAAAAGCTGGAATCTCTCTGGATCTGACCACTGGAGGCAGATTGCTGGGTGGATAACACAGATGAGCTGGGAGACATCAAATTTAACCCATCAATGAGCTCAAGCTCCTCAGTCACAGTTGGTGGAACATTGCTGGATGCACTGGAGTACACCAGAGAAGGAAGCAGCTCTTCTTCATGAAGGTCATCCTGCTCCGTGAGGATGGGAGAGAGCCTGGCACTAATGGTGCTTGCATTGGAACTGGTTCGAGGCCGGAAGGTGTTCCACACATCAGAGTCCTCATTGCTTCTCGAGGATGGGCTCCCTGGCCACTTAGGAAACTGGGATCCAGGACTGTCAGCAGAGGATTCTGGTGCAGACTGGAGAGGAGGCTTCTTCCTGGATGCTTTACCTCTGACTTTTGCAAGTTTGCTGCTGTTGTCCATGGAGGCAGCTCTTCTTCTTGGTGCTTTTCCACTTTTACCACCCTCAGGATTGAGCATCCACCAAGAGCTCTTTCCTGTGGCTTCATTATGGACCTTAATAAACTTGCTGTGCAGGGAGAGGTTATGTCGAATAGAGTTCTGAAACAAAAACAAAACAAAAAAAAGATAAAACCCACAAGATATGAGAACCTGACAGCTGACACACCTCCCACCTAGAAACCTCACAAGCATTCACACAGTATCCAGAAAAGAAAGTTATAACAAAGACCTACCCATCAAAACCTGCTATTTCTGTCTGAACATGCTTGGCAGCACTAGCAAGTAGTTCCATGCCTCACTGCAATACCAAGGGTAAAAGTACCATGACAACTAGCTTTCAACTAGCAAAAGACTAACACAAAAGATCTTGAAAGACCACACCAAATCTGCAAAAAAGCTAAGCAGATCATAGAGCAAGTAAGCAAATTCTCAAACACTGCTTGCAATTTGAACAGGAGCCTAACTGAATCTGAGCTAATGCTGCTTCCACCCTTCTGTCACCCCCTTTACACAGCATAAGCCTGGCTAAAGTTTCTACTACTTATATGGCAAACTTTCAGTCAGATTCAAGCACAGCAGTGAATCAAATAGACTGGGTGAAGACAAGTGGCAAAACACTTCTAATTCAGGACACCCATTACCATCTCCACTCCAAAACCTGAGAAACGAGAGAGAAACTTTGAGGAACAAAGTCCTAGGAATCCTGGAGACTGCCAGGCTCACTCTGCAAGGAGGCAGTGTACTTTCCTCAGTGTGTGTCTCTGGCAGGGTAAGATGTTCAGTGGATACTGCACTCCCACACAGTACATGCCAGTTTTAGCCTCTCCCATCTTTCCCCTTGGCAAGATACACATTCCTTTCCTCTTCCAACTCCCTTCTGGTTTAGCTTTGTTGGAAACTGCAAGCTAACATATCTGTACACCACCAAACTGAATTTTCATCTTGCAACTGATAAAGTCCCCCGTATTTTAGAACCAGCACTGTCTGAACAGATCCTCCATAAACTCCCCTTGAGGCCTGTGTTGTGCATTTGTTTGATATTCACACTTAATTTGCTCAGATGGCCAAATTACAGATCATTAAAAGGTGCTGCATTGGTAGCACAACAGTGGACCAGTAGTATAATCTTTTTCATATAAACTAAAAGCTATATAACAGCTTTCAGCTTTCGTGCATACTCTCTTAATTTTGAGCAAATTAACTGTGGTTTTATCATCCTTTTCCCGCAACTCTCAACTCAGTTCTTTCCCGTATGCTGCTTTCCCTCTCCCCACCCTTTTCCTCTCGGAAAAATCCTCACTATGCTAATTTTGACCACCTCACTGTAAGTATTATCCTAGAACAAAGCAGACGTAGATAAGCAATACTGGCAAAGTGGAAAGTTTTCATGAAGAAAGAAGGAGATGTGAGAATCATCCTGGGTTAGCTTTCATTTTAACCTTTGGCTGCTGAGGATTTGGAGAATGGCTGCTTACAACCAGCATCAATGAATATACATGTTCTTACTTGGAGAGTGGCTGCAGAGCCAGGGCTTGATGGAACATGTGCTACTCAATGCTCTTAAGAGTTTTATTATTTGAGCTGTTCACACGAATAGCTGTACAACACTCCTGCCTGGCATCTTCTCTAAACAAAGCTTTCCTTCAGGTCTCAAAAGAAGTCATTCAGACTGGTACCCTGTCTCCTGGAAGGCTGTTGCTTTCATTTCCAAAGAATTCACCCCCCTTTTCCCAGGTAAATGTGCATGACTTTGCATACTGCTGCAGCACTAAGAACCACTAGGTTGCCACGAATCCTTCACAGACCCTCCTGCAAGTAACCTGGGAACTCATGATGACACGCAACGCCATCAGCAATGACCCAGCAGCTTGCAGACACAGGATACATTTGGAGTCTCCTACCCACCTGGATTTTAGCTTCAGTTACTAAAATGGAACTCTACACCAACAGGTTCAGGATTTCAGAATTTCACAACTAAATGTATTCTGTCTTCTTCTTGTGCACGGCTATGGCCAGGTCTAAATTACCGTGTCAGCAAACACTGCACTGGGACAAGGACTGGTGCAAGCAATTCAGTAACACAACCCTCAAGAAAATTAGTGCCACTTCAGGTATCATAAGGGAAAATTTTAGTAACTAATTTCCTAGGTTTTTTGGCTGAAAAGCAGCTTGAAATAAGACATCTCAGAGTAAGACCAGGATTCACATGAACACAGACATATGAAGCCTGGTACCTTTTACAAAATAGTCTCAAAGTGCTTTTACATGTTACTGCTAAACCCACACAATGGCTAATAGCTGTAGAAACAGATAATTGCTGTACCACTCCTTCCTTCCTCATCCTCAAACTCTCCTCCTTCCATCACACATGCAGCAGTGACCCTATGAGCTAGTTCAGAGAGTAAACCCAATCAAAAAGTAGCCCTGTTTGTCCTTGAAAACTACTTTTCCTGCCTCTTATCTCTGCTTGTTTTTTGAACTACCTCACAGTGAGGGTCAAGCACCAAAAACGGAGAGAACAGCATGAGCGGCTGGAAGCAGAGGAAAAAACCCAAACATTTCTTACGTTAATTAGGGTTAACTGTTGGCAGAACTGCAATGCCTAAATTACCAGTTTTGCACCTCTCCTGTAGACTGTGTGAGGCAGCTCAGAGCTCAGTGAAGCACTGCTACCACAGCACCCAGAGCCAGAACACACCTGCAGGACTGAGCTTGTCTGTAAACTGCAGACTCGAGCCCAGAGTGTCCCAAAATACCACTGAATCAATGCACCTATCAGCCTGGGTGCTGTGAGACAGCACAAGAATGCATCTGCTAGAATGATTGAGTACACCTAACATATGGAGGGCACCCTCAAATCTCATTAAGAAAACGAGGGACAAGTCAATTATGCTAAAATAATCACAGAACTGCAGGCCAAACCTGATGGGAGAGGAAATGACACAGTTCAGTCACCCAGGCAACCCTGACATATTTCCTTTCACTATGTTAGGCAACTCAAAACAGAAACATACAGATGACATGAACCTGTTACATGCTCAAATTCAGCAGCGTGGAAGGATCCCAGTTGGTCTGAACACCTGGAAAACATAAAAGGTCTTGACTCTTTGATCATAAGGAGGCATGGCCTGAAAGAAGGGGCACAGACAGGAATCCTTCAAATCCTTAGGAACCTCTTCAACCACTAGTTAGGGATGGTCATTGCTATTTATTCAGGTATCTGATAGTGACATTTATGGCTGTATGTTAAGTATTGCCATGAAAAAAATGCCAGCATGTCTCTCTAAATCCATCACAGATGAAAGATGATTCCTGTAAACCATACTCAGACAAAACCAGTCTGAAATTAAGGACAGATAGCATGCAAAAAATTAAAGTTTGTGTAGAGGCATATATTGTACACTGAAGGGAGGACTAGGTCCACACTAGACCCCAATCACTACGCATACTAGGATATATGGATTAGCCACAAAGTGTGGCTAACAGCATAGACAAACTGTTCTCTAAATCTCAGTTACCACAACATTAAATCTTCTCCTTTGATAAAATCTCCTAGCCACATTTAAAGGACAGGAACACTCCTCACCATCACACCAGGCCAGCCCCCACACTAACCTCAGTGCTGCTGTGGATCCCACCCAGCACCAAAGCACCAAACAGTGCTTTGGTCCCAGGAATTACCCACAGGAACTGGCAGCACAATCAAGCACTTATCCTGCCCAGTCAGCCTTCTGGACATCTGCCACAGACACCAAGATACCACGGAAAATGCACAAATGAAATTAATACAGAAGACTGAAGGCCAGTGACAGCCTTTCCAGGGGACTGTACAACTTTGTAGGTAAGGCCAAGGTTATCTACCATGAAACTGAAGTTTGACTTGGGATGGTTTGCTCAGACTTTAAGGCTCTTCACAGTAAAGAAGAGCTTCAACTTATCCTTCTGTGATGTACTTTCTTCTCAACACCAATGTGGCAGGAGCAGGAGGAGGCTCTTGTGCCCTGCCTGGCAGTGGTGCATGGCCCGTGCTCAGGGCCAAGCACAAGCGATGCTGAGAAAGACACAAGACACAGCAGCTATCCTTCCAGGAGATACAATGGCTTCCCTTCCTTTCCTGGCCATTCTCCCAGGAAACATTAAGTTTACACTACAAACCACAGAGGCAACAGATTTCTTAACAAAAAGTCTCTCTCAAGAACAAGTGACAGAAAAACAATAAAATAGAATATATGCAATCACTGCAGCTGTCTGTAATACACTCTCACTGCCTCAGAGACATACAAAGAACATGGTCTCATCCCAGTGCAGAGCCATGTGCCACATGTTCCACAGCCAGGCCTGTAATTGTGCCGAATTATCATTTGCCGTGGCAT